CTGGTCAACTGGCACCCAGAGCCGGCGTTCTCATCCCTTCGTCCTCATCGCCTCCGTCCGATCCGTCCGACCCGTGCGATCTGCCCGATCCATCGGATCAGTCGGTTCCTGCCAACGGACTTGGAGGTCTTCGCAAAGAAGGCAAGTCCGAATCCGGCGAAGCGCTTGACCTCGAGTCCTTTGCCTCGACGGCCTCCTCCCATGCTCCATCCGGCCATACAGGCCTGAATATGGTCGCGCTACGTAGACTGGCCTCCGCCTCGCCGTCCAGCGCGTCAATCGAAGCGTTGCCGAGCAGCGCATCCTCGTCAACCGGGTCTACGGCTGTACTTGCCGCAATGGCCGCCGCAATGGCAGTGGCCGCCGCCACGGCTTCTGGCAGTCTTTCGAGCAGCTCGACCGGACTCAGGCTCGAGTCCGGTCAGTTGGCGAATAGCATGGCTGGGGCCAATTCTCTGTCAACGATGATGGCCACCACGGCCGCCTTCAATGAGCTCTTCGCAGCGGCGGGCGCTGGGTCGGCCGGCTGCTCGGCGTCATTGCCGAGCCTCGGGGCTCTGCTCGGTCTCGGACTAGGGCCCGTCGAGCTGGCGCGTCTGCTGGAGCAACCGGAAGCAGGGCCAGTCTGGCTGAGTCGGGAGTCGGAGGGGTTGAGAGTCCGCATGACGAATGAGGACAAACCGACGTGTCAGACCCTCGGACGAAGACCGGCTCTTCGCAGCTCTGTGGCGGGCCCGATCGAGACCAGCGCCTGCCTACAGGACAGAGTTGGAGCCGGTTTGTCGGGGCAAAGTGACCTCGGAGAGTCGACAGGGGTACCAATGGTGGCCGAGATGGGTGTGGCCGGACTGATGATGCCAGTGCCAGCAGGCCCCAATGGACGTGGCTAGTCCGCGACCGAGGCGCAGAAATCTGCATAATCACACATTTTCACTGTAGTGTTGCTGAATTCGGGTGAGCATGGACATTTTAAAATGAGGAAATCTATTGGTAGGGGCAACTGGGAATAGAAGCTTTAAAATAAATTAGTTAATACGGCCAATTATATTTCGTAAATAATATGTTTCCCTAACGGAGGGCAGTCAAATTTTGCATTTACAAAATATAAATTGGATCTCCTATTTGTGAAACCGATCTCTCGAAAACCGACCTATAAAACTAAAATAAATAGAACAACCTAAGTTAAAATTGGTCTTATGAGTTTGATCTCGTTCTAAGATGCCTGATGAAAGGATTCATAGGGAGCTTTCACCAGG